GAGGTGTTGGTGAGAACGGAGCCCCAGGCCCCAGAGGCTCGCCCTTTGAAAGGCTTGGTTTTGGCAGCTCTCTGAAACACCCATCAAATTGAAAGCATCCTAAAGGAAGATACTACGCCTTGTTTGTCGTTGTCTGATACATAATGGGTTCTTGTCATGTTCAAAGAGAACCTCACCACACACACACACACACACACACACACACACACACACACACACACACACACATGTGCGTGCGTGTGGGGGCTGCCCAAGCCCCTTTGTCTCTATGCCTGCAGTGTTGCCTAGCAGCGGCTGGCCACACCTGGCTCCCATTGCAGCACCACACAGTGGGCTTGTTCCCAGGACTCTTGCAGAGGCATTTAAGGGACACACCCTCCCCAGGTGGTCTTTTTGGCCACACTTCCTGAGCTGAATGGGATCTCCCACTCTCCATGCCTGCAGATGAGGGGCCCACAGATACAGGCTGTCATCTCCACATGGGTCCTGTTCAAAGGTCCTCTGGGACTGACCCTGTGGCTCTTTTCCATAATAACAGTAATCACACTATCTTCGAGGTTATTTGGAGCCTCAAAGTTGACAAAGCACAGCAATGACATCCCAAGTGCAGAAGGACAGGCCTAAATAAAGCCAGGATCCTCCATTGTGGGGTTTTATGAGACTCCTCTGCTTTAAATCTTCTCTTTATTCCAGATGGGCCCAATCTAAGAAGACGCTTGTTAGGATTTAGGTTGCTCGGGTTCTTCATCAAATTAAAATGAATACAGTACCTCTCTATGATCATCCAGCACTCCTTCTGTTTTGTTTTTTGTTTTTTTTTTCAGAAAGTTATCTTTAATGTCTATGCTAAATAAATTACATTTACATACAAGACAAAACCATCAGAGGTTCTTATAAGAATCCAAAGTATAAGAATCCCAGGTAAATGCCACCACTCCCTCTTACAGCAGTGCATACTGAGTGCGGACTGAAGAGCAGGCACAAGGCCAGGAGCTGGGACATGCACACTGGGCCACAGGAACAGGCCAGATCCAGGGCCTGACCTTGTGGAGACAGAGATTTATCAAATAACCCCACAAATGCAACTTTAAAAGGGTGGTAAAGGGAAGTTCAGGCAGTCGTGAGGGCTTTCAGGGAAAGAACTTCATACATTTTATGAAGCCCATATGCCATCCTTCGGGGTCCTGCTGACACTCCATGGCTTTCCTCTGCTCCCTCTGCCCTACACACACACACACACCCCACGGCTATCCTCTCTCCTGAGCTCGAGCTTCCTCTTCTGGCTCATTTGGCTTCTTGCTGTGCATTATAGCTATTTACGTGTGTGTGTGTGTGTGTGTGTGTGTGTGTGTGTGTGTGTGTGTGTGTGTGTTGGGCAGGGGGCGGGGGGCGGAGTTCTGATGGCAGCTGGACTCCATCCTGGTACATGGAGAAAAAACTGCAGTTTAAGCTGAGTGTGAACACTGCCCACCTGCTTCTGTGGATTTTTCGCATTTAGGAAGTAATCCCCCACAATATACAGTAGAATAGAAAACAATCTGGGGGAGGATCTTGGGTGCCCCCCAAAGATCAAACCCTAATATTTATGCAACAAAATGTAAACATATTCACACCATCAGGTTGGGTTTTACCTTCAAATGAGTGGTTTTTAGAGATGTTTGGATTTCAGAATTCTGAATATCGGATTGAGCCCACTCATGAGACTATGGCTGCCTTCACAAGGCTCGGTGGCTACCACGTCACGTTGGCCTTTCCCCTCGTCTCCCTGAGAGAACGGTCGGTGCTGCCTGCACTCTAGAGCCCCTCCAAATGCAGCTTCTCCAGGCAGTGGTCCCAGCAGCTGCCTGCATTGCCGCGGCAGCGTGACGAGTACCAGGGAAACCGTGCGCCAGGAGGTCAAAGGGGGCATGTCTTTCTGTGCTGTGAGCCCACTTCTAAGCATTGGTCCTTAGAAAATAATTAGAAATGGGAAAATGCTTTTGGCACTAAGTTTATGATGACTTGGAAACCACGAAGTCTCCAAGAGAGGGAAATAGTTGAGTAAATTATGGAATATTATACAGCCAATAAGAAAAGTTTTGTGTTATGATGACTACGTATGAACAGGGAAAAATCTTACAGCATACCATGGTAAGTTCAAAATAGAAGTAGATTTATATCATTCCTCTATCTGAAAACCAACAATAAATTTGCATAGGAGAAAAGATTGGAGGCAGACATATCGAAATGCTAACTTTCATTTAGGTCAGTGTAATGGAATAATGAAAGGGTTATTTTATTTAATGTTTTCTGTTTTCCAGTTTTAAAAAATGTATTAAAAACCAAGTGACACTTTATTTCTATTGACACGAATTTCTCAGGAGTGAATGTTGTTTCCATGGACGGGGTCCATTTCTCATGATCCTCATGCCATTTGAATTTCCTCCACTCCTAGGGTGGCTAGATGCTCGGAATAGACTTCTATGTTCCATGCATGCCCATTACTCCTAACTCACCCTTCCTCTCTGGGGCAGAAGGCAGACAGGATAAAATTTGTTTCTCCTTTTCTTTCTCCCCTGTAGGCTGGCCGAACAGCTTTGTCCATCGTTCTGAAATCACCCGCCCATGTGGAAATTGCAGGGCTTCTGCGGGCCCACGCAGAGCAGGGCAGGTCCCTGGGGCCATAGAGGCTGTGGAAAAACTGGCAGCCAGGAACAAAGGCTTCTTCTCTGGACTTCTCCCTCACCCTTGGGTTATAGCCCGAGGGCCACCCCTCAAGAGAAGAAGCTATGTCAAATATGCACATACATTCCTGTTGTATAATTCCGCTCATTAGGATGCTTCATAGTTTTGCCTTAGGCCAAGCCCCCAAACAATGCGGGCTGCAGAGCAGGGTGCAAGGTGCAAGGTGCACTGGTGTCATCTAAAATCCCAAACATCTTCAGCCTGAAATTCCTCATGACTCTACCCTTTGTAGCACTGCTTGGTGAGCAGGTGGGCAGAAGCACATTAGAAAAGCAATACTTTTCACATGGAATTTTAAAGTGCACCATCTTTTTGTTTTTTATCAATCATATATGACTATATCCCCTTGAATATGCATGTCTGAGAGGATAGGGGAAAGATTTAAGCAGCCCTCTTGGCTATCATTCTCTAGAAGGCCCTAGGAGAATCACCACACAGACAGGTGAACTGAACAGACTCCATTTTGGGTGTTTGTTCAGTTGGGGTTGCAAGAGAAATTTTAAATTCAGACAAGGTAGGACGAAGCACATTGGCGTCAGTGCCAGATCTACAGTCTCAACCATTTCCGAGTCACTGAGTGGCTCCAGCTTTCTCCAGGGAAATTGGAATTAATCAGGAAATTCAATCCAATGAAGCACACCACATGTATTTAGGATGAGTTATTGTCATCCAGAAGCCACCACATTTCCTCCATAGCTGTATCCATGGTAATCCCAGCTCTTCTCCGCTCATAGCCCTTGTGAGCAAACTATAAGCCCCATGTGGCTCTGAGGCCCCAGACTGCAGAACTTTCCAGCCTGGACTGTAGCAGGAGTATGGGAGCCAGGCGAGGCAGGGCACCCCCTAGGCTAACATCGCTCTCTACTAGATAGTTTTTTTTTTAAGTTCCGTAATCCCAGGGCCCACATGTGCATGGTTCATACTCAGCAACTTACACAGGGTATCTACAAATATGTTCTTCCTTGAAGTCTCTTATGCACAAAACTACCTTATATAAAAAAGAAAAACATCAACATTCAGTGAGTCTCACGTTGAAAACACAAAAGCTTGAGTTCTCATTTTGACTGAGATGCCACTTTGTTTGCTGCCCCTTGGGTGAGTCATGAAACCTCCTTGGGCCCCAGTTTCATCATCTTTGAAAACGGAAATTAGCATACAGCCTACCTCCTGGGAGTGTTGTGCAAGGCACAGCGATGGAAGTTTTGGAATCCACTTTTAATCCATAAAAACTGCATACAGAGGTTTGCCATTGGGATTCATTAGAAAGGCTCAGAGTTCCAGAGAAGGACACTAGCATGTGACGGTGTTGTTCAGAGGTAGAGAGAATAGAGCAAATAATAAGCTGGAATGCTTTAAACGGGTTTATTTTGACCTCAAAGCACATTTTAAGAGCAAAACCCTACATTAATAAATGTTCTCCCCCAGTGCTTCTCAAAGTTGGATGTGCATACACATCTAGGATCTTGTTAGAAGGCAGTAGGTCTGAGGAGGGAAGGGGGCCTGGGATTCTGCATTTCTAACCAGTTCCCAGGGTATTCCAATGATGTTGGGCTACACCACACGTGTTAGTATATTAAAATGCTGCCCCTCAATCTTTTTGTCTTTGCATTTTTCTGCTCTTAGTTCTTGGGAATTTGCAATGTGAGTCTTATTTACTATTGTGGTTGCCAATTTAGGGTTTATTTCTGCATTTCGCATTAGGGTAGCAACTTTAACTTGGTCCTTTTTTTTTTATTTTAAATCTCATTTGTGTTCAACTATTTTTTTTTCACCAGAGAAGGCAAACTGGTTTTCCTAGAGTCTGAAGCCATTGAATCATTATCAAAAAGACTGTCCATGCTTTCCAAGATTTTCAAATTTATTTATTTATTTTTTAGGCAAGGCAACCCTTGGTTCACCTCACAGATTGCAAGGACCTTGTCAGTTTACAATCCCTTATTTTTTTATTTTAATTTTTAAATCTCATTTGTGTTCAACTATTTTTTTTTCACCAGAGAAGGCAAACTGGTTTTCCTAGAGTCTGAAGCCATTGAATCATTATCAAAAAGACTGTCCATGCTTTCCAAGATTTTCAAATTTATTTATTTATTTTTTAGGCAAGGCAACCCTTGGTTCACCTCACAGATTGCAAGGACCTTGTCAGTTTACAATCCCTTATTTTTTTAATTTTTTAATTTTTAAAAATTTTTTTATGCCTACAGCACCTGGTCTTCCTAGGTGGTCTCCCTTCCAAGTACTAACAAGGCCCAACCCTGCTTAGCTTCTGAGATCAGACGAGATCAGGCTCGTTCAGGGTGGCATGGCCGTAGACAAGATTTTCAGTCTTGAGTTTGGAATGTGAACACATGATCTTATAACCACTGGATGGATTGTCTGCCACCTGCTCCACTGTTCCTTGGCTCTAGAATTCATTCAACAAATGTCTGTTGAAAGCACCAGGTGCCTGACATTGTTCTCAACACTGGGTTTTAGAAAGCAACTTTGGCCTCCTCTACAAAAACAGTGTCTAAGGTTTCCACGATCTAAAACCCAGGCTTTCCAGGACCTTAAGCCAAGGCTCCACTAATTAACACATTTATCAAGTGCCTGACAGCATAGTCTCCAAGCAACATATATCAGGCTTACTGGCACAGGTATTGAGCTCAGGCTTGGGGAGAGACACACAGGTATCATTAGCTCCACTCACTGCCTCTATGGAGTGTACAATCTGCTTTTGGAAGACAAGACACGTGCCAACAGTCAGGAGTAAAGTCAGGCAACATAGTTTATTCCACAAATGTTTCTGGAGTGCTCACTGTGCAGGCACTGGTCTTGCATGAGAGTCATCACAGTGACACAGTTCAGACTCATCTCACAATCTACTTGGGAAAACAGAATGGTGAGAAGGAAGCCCAGACTAAAGGGGAGTCAAGAAAGGGCACCAATGCTGATTTTAGGAAGTCAAAGGAGGCTTCCTGGCAGAAGAGATATCTGAACTAAAAGCTTAAAGATTTGTGGCTGTCAGCCAGAAAAGGAAGAGGAGTAAGAGATGAGGCAAGGTGAGAGTGTGCCAGGCACAGAGACCAGTATTGCTAAGGGAGACCAGTACTGAAAGATGGGAGAAGAAGCATTTGGGAAGCTTCATTCATGTGAATTAAACTGTAATATAGAGTTTGAGTGGGATGCTAAGATCAAAGGGTAGATTTGGAAGAGATGAGACTGAAAAAACATGGGGATCAGATCACAAAATGCCGTAAAGTTATGATTAGGCTTTGTTCTAAAGGCAAGGGAAAGCTATTGAAAACCAGGTTTATGTTTGAGAGATTCATTCCTCTAACCTTCACTTAACAGACGTATCAGGTACCCACTCCCTTCTAAGTACTATGTTTGGGGATGTGATAAGCAAGGTAGACACGGAACTTACAGTTTAGAAGTGGAGGAAGACAAGTCATTACAGAACAGTATTACGCATGCTGCGACTGGGAAAGGACAAGGTGCTATGGGATACATAGTGGGACCCTCAGCCTATTTTGAGAGTAGGGAGGGTGCCCAGCAGAGCTTCCTGATAAATCTTTACTATCTGAAAGATCAGTAGGCATTAGCCAGGCAAAGAGGAGCAGGGGAAGAAGCAAGAAAATAACTGCTAGATAAGAGAGAACACTGATTTTGGTATTAAAAGAACTTCAGTGTTCCAGAGTAGAAAAAAGAGAAATGTTGCAAGATGAGGCCACAAAGAAAGACACAAGTTTGGACTTGAAGGAAATAGGAACACAGGAAGTGATGCTCAGACTTACATGTTAGAAATGTAAGTCTGACTTAGATTTGTGGAGACGTGGACGATGTTTATTCAACAGACATTTGTGGACTATCTGAAGTCCTGGACTCTACAGTTCATGGTTTGGTGGAGGAGACAGATGTAGGCTGACAACGACTATGAATAGGATGAGTAATGGAGGTCCAAAGAGTGCCATGGAGACGAACTTGGCCAGAGGGAGTCAGGGAAGCCTCCCGGGGGAGGTGATTTTTGAGCTAAGCCATAAGGAGGTGTAGGAGCTTCCCAGGGCATGCTAGCTAGAACAGCAGGTATAAAGATGTGGAGTGGAGTGTGAATGAGGACAGGCTGTCTGGGCAATGTAGAGAATTTCAGAATGACTTCAGTTTAGGTTGCATGGGGGAAGTGCCTGGAGAGTAGATTTAAGAGGAAGGTCAGTAGACACATCTTACTTGTAGGTTGGGAATTTGGACCCAAGCCTATAATTTGAGGAGGAATGAGAGAACTCTTTGAGAACCTAAAGCTCTCTTCAGAAAAATGCGCATAAATCTGCAAAATCTGCAAAATCTGCATGTAATTTCAGGAATTTAGAAATCTGCATTTAAAATCTCACTACTATGAACAGTAGGGAGCCATTGAAGAATTTCTAAACAATGGAGCCAGATGATCAGATTTGCACTTTAGAATGATCACAGAAGGAGGCTGGAAAGAGAGACTGGAGGTAAGTGGATCAGTTAAGAGGCTCTCCTGAGATACTAGGTATAAAGCTGTAAGGGCCCTGTTCATGATGGCATCAGTGGAAGAAAAGGAGAGGATTCTATGAGAAAGGTATCAGGAATGGGATGTGCTAGGATATGATGACAAACTGGTTAGTAGAGAAGAGTGAAAATGAGTGACAGAAAAATGGTGATGCTATTATCCTCAATACCCATTCTTCCTTCTCTCCTTAGTAATAGAATCCCCGACTTTTAGCTGGACACATGGCCACCCAGAGCAGAGTCTCCTCCCCAGCCACCCTTAGAGCTTGATGTTGCTATGTAACTAAGTTCTGGCGAATGAAATGTGAGTGATGTGTGTGAACTCTGGCTCCTGTGTTGAAAGGAAAAAGAAATGCATTTCCTTTTTCCCACTGGCTAGAAGATAGTAACAGTACTTCTCGATCTATGAAGATCCAGCCAACACCCTAGGGATCATACAACAGCAGGTCAGAAAGAGCTTAGATTGGACGTGGTTCCATAGTGTAGCGGTTAGCATGTCTGCTTTACACACAGAAGGTCCTGGGTTCGCATGCCAGTGGAGCCACAGTCCATTGTCTACGGCCATACCACCCTGAACAAGCCTGATGTCTGATCTCGGAAGCTAAACGGGGTTGCATCTGGTTAGTACTTGGATAGGAGACCACCTAGGAAGACCAAGTGCTGTAGGTATAAATAATAATTAAAAATATATAAAAAAGAAAAGAAAAGAAAAAGATCTTAGACCCCCAACCCCATAAAGCCATCAAATCTGCTCTGGACTGCTTATTTCCCATCTGATAATTTCTTGATGTAATCAAGAAATAATCTTCTAACTTGTTTAAACCATTGTACATTTGGATCTCTGTTGCAGTAGGAGTTGGGCAAATGCACTCGGCGCCCTGTGGCAGGCTCAAGGGTCTAATGCTATGGTTAGTGAGTTTGAGGGCAGAAAAGCTTGGGAAGGCTTTTAGAAGTAGGAGCCTTTTATATTTCCTCACAGTATAAATCCTGGTTCCATGCCAAAGTAGAATTGCCCAGCCCACAGTCCTGCAAAAGGTGTGGCCTTGTATTGCTCTAGAACAGGGGTCTCCAACCCCCAGGGCCACAGACTGGTGCCTATCTTGTAGCCTGTTAGGAACTAGGCTGCATAGCAGGAGGTGAGCAGCAGGGTGGGGGTAGGGGGGGAGCAAAGCTTTATCTGTATTTGCAGCTGCTCCCCAGCACTCCACAGCGCTAGCATCACTACCCCAGCTCCACCTCAGATCATCAAGCATTAGATTCTCATAAGAGCAGTGGTCCCTGGTGCCAAAAAGGTTGAGGACCGCTGTCCTAGAAGATTCCTGACCACAGGCTCTGCACCACAGGGCAGCCAGTCTTTAAGTGAGACAGTGCCTATCAAGTGGCTTAGTGTGGAAATGTAGACATTTTAAACCATTTGAATTAGCTGAGAAATTCAAACGAGGAAATATGCAGAGTTTCAGGCAGCAGCAGTGGGTGATGGGAGTGAGAAGTCATGAGGTCGAGTGAGGCCTGAAAAGAGAGGCATTATTTGCATACATGGAGATGAACACAGATAGACAATATGAGTGAGCAAGGAGGAGGTGTGAGTAGAGAAAAGATGAAAAAAAAAAAAGAGCTGAATAAGCCTAACAAGTAAACACCTGCAGACTGCCAGGTCCTCCTTTCCCAGGTAACTTCGCTTCCCAGCTCCCTCCACTGTCCACATGACTGCAGCAGAAATTGTCACATTTCTACAGGAAAACTTGGTCCTTGGCCATTTAAGTATAGACACTGGACATTACCTGGCTCAAGCAGGCCCTCTCCAAGGAATTTTTGAGCTGGGATTTAGAAGGAAAGAGATGAAGCCTCCTTCTGGGTATCTGGATTATAACATGTAGATCTCAGAAGCTACTAGTGGCTGGTTCAGCTTTGTAAACTGAGAAACAAAAGTGACTCTTCAGCCAAAAAGAGGGCAGCAGACTTCCTAGCTTCATCAGAGCAATCCTTGTTCCTTCCTTCAGGCGCAGTAGATACTCACCCTTTAAGTCCATCTTTCCCTAACCTCTTCTCTGGGTTATGTAGCACGGTGGGAGGCAAGAGAGGG